TTAACAGCAGACTCAGCTGATATCTGTGCTCGATGTTTCTGCTCGGCTTTGATCTCTGACATATCTGCCTCACAGCTTTGAGTCGTGGTTCGACATTGACACCCTTGGAGAGGCCGACAGTATGGTGGTTGCTGAACGTGAGCAGAACATCCTGAGTATGCTGCACCAGGTCAGTCCTCACACATCGTCACGGCCGTCTGTGCTGTGACCGTCTGTGCTGTGACCGTCTCGTTTCTCTGCTGTTAAACGTCATCTGCAGAGATACTGACAACACAACCACAGTTAAGAAAAGTAATTGGGGACACAGTTTAAACTTGGCTACCAAGAAACATTTGGGTTCCTCCTGTGGAGGTAAATTTGGTGTGAGCCAGCCTTTAAGTCCAGTGTTAAATGTAAGGTTTTGTCTGCTAACGAGCAGCAGGTTAGCCTGGATGTTTACGTTTTTAATAAGGAAACATATCCAGTTGTTCAAAGGCATAAACAATAATCTTACATCCATCCATTCATTACTTACCTGGGGCCATAGAGTTTGCGATCCCTGAAACAGCACAGTTCCTCAGTGGGTAGCACTCGAGCTAATTCAGGGTTTTCAACCCAGATCAATAATTGCAGCCCTACATTATATAAAGATATTATAAATGATCTTTAAAATATCAGATATCAGTTGTCTGTATATAGACGCTGCAGGTAAGCAGACGTGTTATTACAGGTTATCTGTTGTTTCAGATTCTGACTCCGTTCCTGCTGAGGAGGCTAAAGTCAGATGTGACGCTGGAGGTTCCTCCTAAAAAGGAGATCATCGTGTACGCTCCTCTGACAGCCAAGCAGGAGGCTTTCTACACTGCTGTGGTCAACAAGACCATTGCCAAGATGCTGGGCCAGGAAAAGGTAACAAAAAGCCAGAGCTGGGAGCTTGTTAGAGCTGGAGTCGGCGCTCTGCGGCGCTTTAGTCCTCATACTGCGGCTCCGCGTGGTTCAGGAGAATAAATGAGAAGTGTTTAGCTGAAGTGTGTTTTATTTATGTTCTTTTTAACTTGTAGTTCTAAATTAGAAGATTATTGTGATATTGAAATATAAAACTAAAATTATATTATATTATTTTTTCATCGCTCAAAATAAGCGTCACACTCACAGAAGCCGGTGTACAAAACGCCGTGCATTTATCGAGACTTTCAACCCCAGGTAGGCCAGTTACGGACCTTCGGATCCACATTATGTCGGCAGCTCCACCCTGAACTATGTTAAAAACAAACACGCTCA